GAACGGACCGACGGGAAAGGTACGGTGGGCGGGGTAGTGGGGAAGGACGGACGACCAGGCGACGTTCCGTACGAAGGGGGCGAGGGACGACTCAGTGAGTGTGTGAGGAGTTCCTCGGGCTCATCAATGTCCTGTGGGGAAGGATGCCTGGGTGTCTGTGCATCTGCTGGACCCAAGGCACAAAGAGGCTTTCTACACACCCAGTGCCTGCCTAACAGGCCCCAGCTCCCCGGAGGTCAAGCTCATCCTTCTCCAGATACTGCCTCCCACTTTCCCTGATGCCCCCCACCCCCACCACACAAAAACAGCTTTTACCTCCACTGTCCAGGCCCAGCTGCCCAGTCCTCCCTGCTGGCCCCTTACCCTCCGCCCAGCCCTTCCATGTCAGGTGTCTAGGGCCCTCTTTGCCCGTCACTCCACACTTTCTCCTGGACAGCCTTGACTACCCATGACCCTGATTGCCAGGATTACACTCCTGACCCCCAATCTCAGGCCCCTCTCCTGGGCCACTGATTCCGAATCACCAGTCCCCACACAGGCTCCTCCTTGTGGGTGCTCCACGGACACTCAAACTCAGTATGGACAAGGCTGAACTCACCATCCTCCACTCAACCTCGCCAGGCCAGAAACCCAGTTGGCATCCCTGACACCTCCCACTCACACCTGGAATAACACTCAGGACCTACAGAGTGTCCCTCGTAAATATTTCTCAGCCTCCATTCCAAGATATTTGCTCTCCACTCCCACCTCAGCCCTCTCACCTGTTACCTGGCCACCACACCCACCTCCTCCCTGATGTCCTTGTTCCTCATTGGCCCAGCCTCCACATCGCCAGGAGGAACCTTCTCACCCCAGGCCCACCAACTCTGACCTTGCCCTGCCCCAGTGCCCACCCCACCCAGGCACCTGCATAGCCCTCCGGACAGTGGCACTGGAAGCCATTGGGCAGGTCCTGGCAGAGGCCTCCACTGAAGCATGGCCGTGAGGCACACTCGTCCACGTCCACGCCGCAGTCGTTCCCTGCAAGAAGCCCAGCTGTGATTCCCACCTGCTCCCTCAGAGCCAGGCTGGAACTGGAAGGGCCTATTTTACAGGTAGGGAGACTGAGGTCCGGAGAGAGGTGCTTGAACCCAGCCCCAGTATCTCTCCCTCGCATCTGGACACTACAGACCTGCTTCCCTGGAAGGGGGTGAGGAGGCTTACCCTCAAAGCCCGGAGGGCAGCGGCACAGGAAGCCAGCAGCATGGCGGAAGCTGAAGGCACCTGGGAAGGCGGCCTGAATGCCCCCGTAGAGGGTGGGGTCGGAGCGCTGCAGGCACTGGGCCCCGTGCTGGCAGGGGCCCGCTGCACACTCGTCCTCATCCACCTCGCACCGCTCGCCGCTGTAGCCTGCGGGCACACGCACGTGGGCATCGGGTCACATGGGGACACTGGGCAGCACTCCTCGCCCCTCTAAGGCCAGCCCAGGGCCAGGCTGGGACAACAGAGCAGAATATGATCAAGGATATTCTGAGGCGGGGACACACTGAGGCGGGTAGGAATGACCCAAGCAGCCTTCAACAGCATCATGTTACTATTATTACTAGTATTACCGGGCGCTTCGCACGTGCAGGGCCCTGTGCCAAGTTGCACCTTTACTCTCCTCACAACAAACAGCACGGGAGCAGATGCTGTGATTAGCCCTATTTTGCAGATCAGGAAACCGAGGTTCACCGAAGTTGCAGTCCTGTACACACTTGGCTTAGTTCACGGACCGCGCGTGCGCAGAGGCGCACACCGCCCCGCCCCACCCACTCGTCGCCCCAGGCCCGCCGGGTCAGCC